TGTCTTCGTGGAAGCCTTACTCCAACTTTCTCTTTGCGTTTAGATGCCAAGAAGTTCAAAAGATCGCCCCCTGAAGCATATTCGATGACAATCCCACTGGAAAATGGAGGGTTTACAATCCCGAAGAATTTAATGATGTTTGGGTGATCAAGTTTTCTGAGAATATTGACCTCTTTATCGTGAAGTTGCTTATTGTAGATCTTAATTGCAACTTGCCGATTATTTTGTGATGTCCACAATGCCTTGTGAATCACTGTTCCAGAACCAGCGCATCCAATTGGGAGTACATCTGTAAAATCCCCGAACGGTATCGCGTATGACTCGTGTGAATCCATAGTACCAAATGGAAACGGAGTTTTGGTTTGTAGGCCTACTTTGTATAACACAAATACATTGCAGTTTTTCGAGGTCAGTCGGAAGTCCGGTACTGTACGTAAAAGGCCGACGACGAAGAAGTTGTGTAAGCCTACGTCACTAGCCTAGGCACAGTAGATTGGTTGTCGTTGAAATGGCAATTTGTATGTGTTGTGTACAACAAACGGGACATAAGCTGTCGAAATTAATATAGAGCATATAGATAAATATTTTTTTTTCTTTATGCATGTACTAACTTATTTCCTGATACGTAAATAATAATAACAGTGCTCAAATAGGAACATGTTGTTATAATCGTATCAAGCATAGCTTTTCAACAAAAGCTCCTTTTTTGAGTTGAATTAAAAAAGGTGTCTCTGGTGGAATTCGAACCTGCAATCTCTCGCTGTCAAAGGCAGTATCATACCCATTAGACCACAGAGACCTATAGGATATAGGCCTATGTGCAATTCTAACCTCCAACCACTTTCTGTCATAAAACTGACTGAAACGCTCACATGGTGGAGCAGTGGTTAAGCTAGTATCAAAAATAATAAATACCTGTAGTACATCGATACAAAGATAGGTAGAGCAGTTCGCGATATAGTGAAACGTCGATGATGACAATGGAGCAATTTTCCTCCATCCTAGAGGCGGCGCTATATGTTTATATGTTTATACCTATGTATAATCTCTTGAATTGCGCCCTCACTTGGATAGTGGTTTTTTTTTTTATAGTTTCCCAAAGGACGAGTTATTGATTTTCGTCAGTTAAATTAACGATATTGCGGATTTGACGCCAGATGGGAATTACCTAGTTTGATTTAATGATTTTGAGTGAATTATAATTAATTACTGTACTATTGCAATGTTTTTCTTAACAAACTATTGCTTATTTGTTATTTATGACTGTATTATGAAGCACGTTTCGTGCCGTAGGTGGCCATGTTATAGCCTAGGCTTAGAGAAAGTTTGTAAGGAGATTCGGTGACCAGGAGTCGAATGAATGTGCTTGTGTGTTGATGTTTTTATGGATATTATAATTGGTTTTGGGATACAAATACTTATATTTAGACCTCAAACATATCTGATTGTAGATAATTATCAATGATTATTTTTAGATTATCAATCATGATCATTGGTCGGTTTTTATTTGCTTTCTGTTATACTTCTGTAAATATTGTAAACATAAATGGATGGGTGAGATTTTCTCAACAGTATTCTTGAAAATGATCAAATAGATCGAAACGTTGAATCTCAAAATGTCTCGTCTCTTTTCGCAGTTACTGTCTTTTTGTTTTATTTAAGATTAATTAGTGGATCCTCTGGTTTATGATTATTTGTAGGTTATCAGACGATTGTAAATCTTGAAGACATTGCACTGCTGATTATTTTTCGAGAAAAATGAGGTACTATACAATAATTTTATTTTTAATAATAGGAATATATTCTATTGTATTAATAATACAATATAAAAGATATAGTGACTATGCTATAATTGCTATGATAATGAAAACTCTGTTACGGTTTATTAATTTCGAGTTGCGTGGGAAACCCATGATAATTTTTCTAGAGAAAATCATCTATGGTTGCAGTTGTGTAATTAACTTGTTTTATATTTTACTGTTATAGTTCACGGTAAGGATCTTTGGAAAGACATTAAAGACCAAAGAGTACCAGTGAAACCTTGTTCCTAATTTTTTGAAGTCTAGTAGTGCACAATATATATGAATTATGCGGCAGTGCCGATAGAAAACAGCAGCTTTTTGGCACTGCGGCAGTGCCGATAGAAAACAGCAGCTTTTTTTCGCACTGCAGCAGCCTAATTGATAGCCTTGCAAGCAAAATTGTCTTTATATGCATACTGAATACTTGTTTGTAGTACCGATGGTGACAGACAGAATTGATTTTTGTAATTTGTAAACTAATGATCTATTGTTCTATGTTGTTGTTGTTGGTTAACTGTATTGTTGACATTATTACTTGCAAGCCGTGATAATAATAGCATTATTATTCTTGAGTTTTGCATTGATATATTATATATTATTAGAGATCAATGTGTAGTTTATTGATAATGATTTTTTGAATGTATAAGTATTTAACATAAACAATATTTTTACAGAACGGTATAATGATAGGTATACAAGATAGATTGTCATGACTTTTCATCTTTGCTAGATTAAGCAGGAAAATTAGATACTGTCCTAGAAACTAACAATAATACGTTATAAGAAGGTATTAACGTTACAGTTTCGTAATAAGAACGTTATTTTGTAAAAACATAATTATGCGTACTTAGGCCTATAACCTAATTTCACAACGTCACAACGTTTGAACGTTCTTACAATGTTCTGTGAATGTTATGTTGTGACATACCTACCACAATATTTGCGAATGTTATAAATAAGAATGTTTTGTATTTGCTGGGGTACTATAAATATTTATTATTTATAATAAGTAAATTATATATTTTATACCATTATATAATTTTAAGATCAAATAAATATTCTCAATCGTAAAATAAATATTATTACTTTAAAAATATAAAAGTTGAACCTTTTTTTTGGTAATTTTTAGAAAAAATATCATGGGCATGGAAAGTTCTGATTAATTATCATAGTAGAAGTTACAGTACAACCTTAACTTTAGTTGGTTGTTTCAGCTCATATTTCAGGTCATTTCGCACAAAATGGGGCAAATGATTTGAAACACTTTAATGGCGCTTAGGCCAAGAAAGTAGAGCTTAGCCCAGCGCTAGGCTACAAGGGGCAGGCCAAGCAAAAAGCCCGGCTAGCAACGTAGGGCCACTAAAGCCTAATAGGAGGCCTATTCGAAGGCTTTATGGTGAGGAACAGCAGGGGCCTGGATAGGTCAGGCCTAGCCGACACATGACTGTAAATAAGCAGAGCCTTACCTGGGGATCTCCATGGGTCTGCCTTGGTATTAAATTATATAAGATACTGTACTAGAAAATTATATAGGCCAAGATCCACCACATCGTCGCGCTGGCATAGCATCGCCAAATAACCTGGATGCGTCGCATATCTGGTTCACGGCGTCGCGACTAATGACCCATGACCCATGGTTTTGGAACCCTATGTTTTTACAGTAAAAATTGTCCATACGATGCTACGTGACTGACCATATATCGTGTATTCTGTATTCGAAAGACAGCCGCACTACAGTGTGACTGACACGCGATTGTTTGGTTGGATATACCTAGTGATACTAGCATAATCGGGTGCAGAATCAGTCCAGTAGCAGGTCTTTCCGTGTCTGCTTATGTATCTTGATTTGGTTTTCAGATCGATGTCAAACGCAAATAAGAAATAACAGCAAAACTAGTTCTTTGTTTTTCTGTCAGCACGTCCAATAATTTAAAGAAAATCAATCAGCAGCAAAAGTAACAAGAAATAAGAAAACAGCCATCTTCTTTAGCTTACTTAGTTACTTCTTACTTAATCTCATTTGTTTCCATGTTTGTGCAATCCAACCAATGTCTATACATCCAACTTGTTTGTAGAAATCGGATGGTCTCCTGTTAACGTGTTGATTTTATGAAGTTGAAACTCCGGTCCGATATATCCGGTGTGGGAACCAGTTGTAACCGTGGGGTTTTAGATCACTTTCCCCTTGTCGGTTACCTGTTCCCAATAGTCTATGTGGCAGGGTGTTTCACACAGTAAAGCACAGAAACGAATGTCCAATCAAAGTATAGTGTTACCTGCACAGAAAAGTAGGCCCCTATTAAATGTCAACATCCAAGGACCTGTGGAAAGTCACATGACCTGGTTGAGGTTGGGCCTCTGGCATTGAGCTCATCATCATTAAAGTGCTTGATACAGAGTAACCAAAATCTAACTGAGGTTTATGTGAATTCTTTCACAGGTAAGTACCCTAATATGTTTTCTTTTATAACTTTTTTTAGTATTTAAATCATTTACATTATATTTTAGATAGATGCTAAGATAAGTGTGTATCTCAATGAATTAAACTAGAGATAATTAAAGATGAAAACGTTATAGTTACAGTTCACTGTTAAACCATGGTTGAATACTGTAATAGATAGACTATTATAGGAATTATGATAGATGATTGTTTATTATTATGCATCTAAGCTTTAGATTAAAGTTGACATAACTGTTATATGTTCACTATGCTATGAATAAGTAATTAAAACTTGTCATTATTGTGAGGAATAAACTGTAGGTTCAATAGAATACAGTAGGCCCAATAGAACCCTATACAGTGCACCGCATTTAGGTTAGTGACCTTAACACTAATTGGTAAGGTATGCAGGGCTGTGCTACTGAAACTGGGCTGTTGCTATGACAACGAAGGTTACAGAGCAAGTTAAGGTAGATTACATAGTGTAATTTATAACCCTGTTTTCCCCAATGTGTAACAAGAATAGCAACTGTATTAACAGGGTAGAGTATTGTATATTCAATACTGTACTTTATTTTAGGCTTTAAACAATTCTCTATAGTAAAATATAAAGTGGTATTTTCCCTCATATGATGATTTAATGTTTTAATGTCATTTTAGTTTTAATTTAGTAAAAGAAATGTTGGGTAAAGGATCAGATAAATTGATTTATTAGTTAATTTGTTTTATGTTTTAACACTTGTCATTATGATTTTGAATGTGTTAAGATGATCATTAAAGTGCTTGATACAGAGTAACCAACATCTAACTGAGGTCTATGTGAATTCTTTCACAGTCGGAATATCCTGGAAACACCCGTAAAATCTGGCGATCCTGCCAGGACATTGCTGACGTAAAGATGACCATGGACCTCCAAGCATTAGAAAGGGAAGTTAAAGACTGCCTATATAAGTTAACTCTGCCTCAACTGAAAGAGGTAGCTGGAGAAATTAAGCAAGATGCCGGAATTGCCAATAAACCAATCCGTGCAGTACTTAAACACATTTTAAGGTACTTGGAGAGTGAAGAGGTGGAGGCTCTTGAGGATGGTGGTAAAAGCATCCTGCTGGTGGTGAAGGCAAAAATTCAAGAGTTTATGGCATCTCCAACAAGTTCAACTGAAACCACACAATCACTGCCGTCATCCCTTGAGATGTTTAAAAGGGAATTGAAAATAAAGGGACAGATTGGGTCTCCGGGACAGACTGACAAACTGTCCTACTTAAGC